CTACCATTCTTTTATGATGCCTTTCTAAATCTTTCTTCTTCAACGAGCAGCATCTCATCTCAAAATAATCTTGTCTGATTTTTTTTTCATAAAGATCCATGTCTCCCACAAATTCTTGGTGTATTGCTCCAAGAACTTGGCGAGTATTTCTCAGTTGGTGAAACTGGTCTTGTTTGACACTTCCCAGGTTGTGGTACCATTCTTTTAGAGTGCCAGTCATTCTGCAACAAAATTCTTCAATGACTTTATATGGATCTGCGTCTAGCTTCATGAATTGAGTATCTAACCAGGCTCCAAAATCAAGTAGTCTTTTTCTCCAATGTTGTGGAGAGACATCATCAAGAGTGAAATAAGGACCTCCATTAATTTTTGATCCTTTTTTCTCTCGTCTACTAGTTTCTTCTTCATCTTCAGGTGAATCATAAAAGGATCCTTTTTGATTACTGGATTGTGCTGTGTTAACCATCAGCATCTTAGTGATGTTTGTAAATTCTTCATCAGAGGATTTAACTTCTGGTACTTCTGATTCACTCTGGGATTCTTCAGTTGTTGGAGATTCATAAGACTCTTCAGGAAAATCTTTTTCAGTGGATGAAGATTTGAGGGATTTTGAGTCATCAATTAATTGATCCTCTTCAAATATAACCCCTATAAAGGGTGTTTTCCCTTGACTTCCTTTTGATGACTTTTTTGGAGGAGATTTTTCTTCTTCAGAGGAATCTAAGCTTTTGGTTTTGATAGTTTCCGAAGAGGAAATACTCATCTTGCCTTTACCCTTTGAATCACGGGTAGAAGACCTAGGTTTGGGTCTATAGGCAGAGGGCAAGGAGTATGAAGGTGCTGTAAATGTACCTTGGTAGAATGAGGATGGACTAAAAGGAGAATAGTAAGTTGACTGTACAGGAGGTGGAACAAGAAAGGGATTAATTTCAGCTTCCCTGTTCTGTTGTTTTGCAGTAATCAATTCATCCATCTCTTTAATTTCCTGATTTCTCTATCTTTTTTGTGGTATTCTCCAGTGAAAACAGCCTTTTCTTCTGTCAGTTTTGAGATGTTTATCTCCAATTTAGCAATCTGTTTTTGGGATTCTTTGTAACACTTTCTGAGTTTATCAGAAAGGTATTGGAGTCTTTCTTCATTCTTGAGAACAGTTTCAGCAATTTGATCTACTTTTTTGTCCACCTTTTTCAAGATCTTGTTTTGAGTTAAAGAGTTTTCAGTTTGCCAGTTGAGAACTTCTTCAGCTTGGGAAGGAACTTTGAGAGTTCCGTCTGGTTGTACTTCTGTAGGGATTACTAAAGGTCTAGTATTGACCTTAGTAATAGGATCTGCCTTTTTGTCTAATGAAGGAAAATCTTTATCATAGTCAGTGATCATCATACAAGGAATAGGTGTTGTAACCTTTTCTAGAAGTGTGCTGAAAGAATTGCATAATCCTGGAGGAGGAGGCCATGTGATCAGATCTGGATCACAAGGATGTTTGGACAATAGACCTTCTTTTCTCAGGATTTCTAAGGCTTCATCATAGATGGGCAATGGTTTTCTGACATTCCTTATTCCTACCCATGGAGTGAATCCAGGGTCTCTTCTCCTAGGCTTAGGAGGAGGTTTGCAAGGCTTCTTTTTCCTTCTTTTCTGATTATCTTCATCATCATCTGATTCTTCATCAGATGTATCACCAGTATGCATCCAACAGTCACAATCAGGATCACACATAGAAGGATCAACATCCCACATGAAGTGTCCATCAAATTTGTCAGAATAGATGGAGGATCCATCAGGTTTAAAGCTGTATACTGGGATTCTATGTTCTTTTCCGACAGGTATCACCATGAGTAACTGGAAACAATTGGTAGAAGAACTGGTTTCATCATCAGGCTTCTTAAAAATGGTTTTGACACCACCATCAACAGATCTTCTGAAAGTGGCTTCAAAAGACTGAATTGGCCTGTTGTTTTGCCTGATCTTTTCATAATTAGTTGTCCATTCAAGTGGAATTAATTTGAGAAGTTCTTCTCGAAGAATTTGTCTGGGAACTTGGATGATGGATAGAACATCATCTTCACTTCTGTTAGCTATGACAAACAGATTATCATTTACCATTCCTGGTAGAGGAAGGTCATGAGCATGATTTTGTAATCTATAAATCATCTGGTGATGAAGTGTAGCAGAGATGGCTTCTTCAATTTGCTCTGCTCCAGAGAGCTGGATTTGAACTTTCAATCTGGCTGGCAGAGTCTTGTTCCTTAGTGAGACATTATAATTTGGAAAAATTGTGAGGACCGCACTTCCAACATGAAGAGTGGTCAATAGAGTTGCTATGACAGCATGTTCATAGTGAATATAGGTAGAATCAAGGAGAGTGATTCTAGCAGTAACTAGAAGATTCTTCCTACCATGAAGTGATAGGACTAATCTTATTGCTCCAAAATGAAGGGCAGTATATCCTTCAACCTTCCAATGATCTATGAAAGTTTTAGGAATTTCTAGGTTGATGTACCTTTCTTCTTTGGTAGCAGGAATTTCACATTGGTCCATTCTGGTGGATTGGACATATTCCTTTATGGGAGATTGTTTTCTAAGGATCAAAGCATTGACTTTGTTGGTCCAAGATTTATGTCTTCTGAAAACATTGTAAGGACTTAAAAGAGGAGCTATGGATTCCTGAATCTGAGCATCTTCAAGAACATAGGTGTACTCTATCAAATTTTCTATTTTATCAGTAGCAGTTCTAATACAATATTTGGGTAAGGAGATAGGAGAGTTTAAGAGAATTGAGGAAGTTTCATTAAAAGAGGTGTTCAAGGTGTTTGTGGGTGTATTCATGGTGTTGTGGTAGCTCTTACTTACTTTATTTATAATGACTATCACACTTATCCCCTCCTTCAACAGAGACTTTAGGCTCTGAATAAATACAGGAGTTCGTGGCATTGTTACAGACAAGGGCAACCGTAAAAACGGTTTCTCCGGTAGGTGTCTGTCAGCTGTCCAGCCGATAAACCCTGAGGATATAAGCATCAAATAATTTGAAGGCTCTGATATATAAAGAGAATCACGGCGTTAGAAACGTAGTCATGCAAAAAAAAAAAATCAACAATTTTGACAACAGAGTCAGAGATAGACTACATGAATAGGACAATGTGAATTGATATGTAACTAAGAAGCAACAAAAAGAAAAAGTGAACGACAAGAAGGTTTGGAATCAGTGGTGCTCACCTTGGCAAATATTTAATGGTTTATGATCGTGACGGTAGAAGAGGTATGGGAGTTCGGTTTACATTTCCCTCTCCTCCTTTTTCTTCATTTTTTCCTTTTCTTTCTTGTCTGTTGCTCCCCTTACTCTTCCTCTTATGCTCCTTTGTGCTCTCCCTTCCTTATTTTAAAATTTCTCTTAGACTCCTTCATATGCTATCTCCTCTATTTTTCTAATCTTCTCCTTTTAAAAATTTGTTCTTCCTTCTCTCTTAAAAATTTTTTATGACTTATTTTTGTTTTTTCTTATGCTTTTTACTCTTTGCTCATACATGTCATTACTATTTCTTGCAATGTCAACTTTGATTGGATAGTTGTAGGCTGCCCGAACAACTTACTTTTTTCTTATTTTTATTATGCCAAAAATAACTCTAACTTACTGTTGATAAAAATTGTTTTGTAATAATATATTTAAAGAGTGGTTAGAGTTGAACCACTTTTAAATTTATACTTTCGAGAGCAGTTCTTTTTTATTAACTACAACTCTATTAATCGTTCTTTAAAGTTACATATTAGAGAACAGTTAATAAAAAAATATTCTCTAAAAAGCGGTTAATAAAGAATTGCTTTCTAAAGAGTGATTAATAAAGAATCGCTATCTAACGTCATTTTTGGAGAGTGGTTAATAAATAACCACTTTACAAAATCTTTAACTTTTATAAATGAAACATGCTTAACTCATGAATCTCTTTGTCTTACTAACAAAGTTGGATAAGTTCTTTTCATCTTTTCTGCATTAATAAAGTTGGTGTCTTTGGTCTCTTTCAAGTTTGTAGGTTCTCTTCGTCTTTTCTATACTAACAAATTAGTCTTTTTTTACATTTGGAAGTATATTTTTTACACCATTCTCTCTTTCTTTCTTTTTCTCTCTATTAACGGTAAATCATCATACTAATTTGTTCTCGCTTACTTGTGTTTGGTTCATGCAGATGTAGACTATTTAGTTATTACAATGTATAAATTTAATATTCAATTTTAATTTGTGATAAAAATGAATAAATTTCAAATGTTAGACCTATTAATTAAAATTTAAATGTAACAATAAATTAATTTTAGTTTGCAACAGACACTCACAAAGAAATATATTTCAAATTTTAAATTCGCAGTTTAGACCTATACTTTGAACCAAAATACAATACATTAGATAACGCAAGATTTTAGAGCGGTAGTATTTATAGATTTTTTTTTCTTTTTCTTTTTCTTTTTTTGGTTTTACATTACTATTATTTGGTTTCATAAAAAAATTAAATATTTTTAAAAAATTTAATTTTTTAATAAATTTGATGGCAACTCATTTAATTTTTTAAAAATATTTATTCTTAAAATTGATAGTTTTTAAAAAGTCTTCACCATCCTGTTGTGACTCACGCTGCGATATTTAACAATTAGATAACTAATTAAAAAAGTTGTCGTGTTAGATTTTCTTATAATTAATCTAATTTTCTTTTATAAAATTACTATTTTATATTAGTAAATATATTACATTATTTATATAAATTCATAATGTCTATACTAACACTTTAAATTTTATTAAAAAATGACACAACCTAACAACAAAAGTGTCAGTAAGTAACAAATTTTTTTTGGAGGAAAAGAATGATATTGTCTAAACATGATACGACAGATGAAATATTAATTGTGTGTCCTTCCTTGTACACACGTAATAAAAAATGGAACATATATTTGGAAAGAAAAAAGCATTAATTATAAATTTATAATAATGTCCTCAACAACTCGTTCTAAAGTTACTAGTACGATCCGCTTCCGGGTTGTGGAACATTAATCCTAGGAATCTGTAAAGCAAATGGTGGTGTTGACTCAAACCATCCAAGCTTTTCGACGAGTGTCTTCACAAGATCACCAGCTAAGTAAGAAAGAACGGAGGCCACAGCACCAGTGGTGACATAGTAAAGCACTGTTTGGAAGTATGTCAAATAGCTGTTTGGTCTCTTGATATATGCTTTGCCAATGGAAAGCATAGTGATGCATAGTAGAGAGGCTCCAGCAACAGCAGCTAGCTTGAAATCCTTGTCATCACTCTCAAGGAATGAGAAGCCATACACAACTGGTGGCACTAATCCAAAAACAATGAATGATAAAATTGCAACAAAAGCATGAAGAAAGAAATTCTCCCTCTGCCCCAGTAACTCATTATATCGATCCACTACTGCTTCCTCTGTGCTATTCTCAGCTCTTTTAGGGTTTTCAGCTTTCAATTCTCCAAGCTGCAAAATATTCACATGTCAATGTCATTACAATTATTTTCAAATTCTCAATACAGTTTTTAAAATAACAATTGAAAAGAAAATCACTTTAATTATCACTCTCTTTCTAGTAATTAACAAGTGTTTAAAGAAGTACAATTAAACCTAATAATAACAAGTATCTCTACATTTTATGATTATTATTAAATTTTTAAAAATAACTCTTTTTTGGAAATTAGAGAAAGAATGTGTATAAATTAATATAAAATATGACCATTCAGTTAGAATAGTTCTTATAAGAGGAAAAATATTAATATGAACAAAAATTCTCTCATAAATTAAAAGTATTTTATTTTTTAAAATTAAAAAAATAAAAATATTTCTCTGATAATATAAAAGTATAAATTATTTCTAACTTATAAATTAAATTTTATTTATTTTTTATATTAATTTTTTAAAAAAAATTTCTCAAAATTTATTCAATCAAAACCAACATGTAAACATAAGTTAATACAGAACATAATGTGTATTATTATTTAGGAGTGGATTAAGAAATTAAAGTACTCACAATGGGTTGTGTTTTATTTAATTTAATACTACACAACGAAAGGTAGATAATGACTACGACAGTGATAGCAGTAGTTGAGTTATATTACATCCCAAAATCCTAGAGGTAATATATGTATTTGTTTTACAAATAGCGATGCATGGAAATGATGACAGGAATTGAGAATTTTGTGGAGGAAAAGAGCAGCTCGTGAAATCAATTAACTTGAAAGTTGATATTTTGAACATATAACTCACGTTATGACCAAGTACGAAAAGTCCACCAATCAGGTTTGCAATAGCCAGTGCAACGATATTCACTGCAAAATAATGAAACTGTCAATAAAATTGCATTATTAATTCTCAGAAGTTATGTATCGATTTAAAAGTGCAACGATATATAATAAATAGTATAATTTAAAGATAAATATTAACTTTAACTTTTAGAATTGAGAATAAGTATTTAATTACTTAAATTCAGTTAAAAAGTTAAAATTAAGAAACTCTAACTCAAATTAACGTATCTTCAAGCATTATTTTAAATCAATATAGAGGAAGTGAAAGCAAAATGTCTTACATGTGGTAGCGTCAGCACTCGCTGCGGATGTGACAACACTAAGGCTTGCTAATGATTCATTCAAACCACCGTATACAATACTCTTAAGAATTTCCCATGTCTTATTACTTGCTGGTGCAGGTGGCTCCCTACGTGGAAGAAGTGGGGTGCTTTCAGCAGGAGCTACAACTTGTTCAATTGGTCCTGCCCAACAAATGTACAACATCATAGATGATTTAAATTAATCGATCTTTTTCCTGAATAGTGTTATGAAAATGTTCCGAACCTTCTTCTAAGTTTCTTATTCTTTTCAGAATGTGATACATTAATGTTTGAATTCTTCATAAAGTGATACATGACACCCCTTACTACGATCATCATTTTCACTACTACATTTATCATTCATTGAGACAATTTGTTTATTTTAATTACAATTTGTTCATTTTATGAAATAAATTGATACTACAATCATTTCAAAGTTTCCGCCTGTGGTATGAAGGCATGATTAGTCAAAGAAATGTGCAGCTAGTCATTTAAGGCATACTAGCAAACATGATCTCATTATTGTCTGAATTTACATATGTCTGATTATATATACTGCCCCACTTAGAGGTATTCAATTAATTATTTTGGTGATGGTAAATAATATTTATTACATTAGAAACGACAAAATATATAAATTTTTTTAATATTTCTTTTTGTATACTTAAAATTAGCCCTTAAAGCATTAACGACACTGTAAAAAAATTGTGATGCTTCTTAAAAAAATATAGAAGATATTCGTTTCAACAAAAATTTTGATAATTAATAATATAATATATGTTGGATATTCAATTTTGTAGCATATTCACCTATGATTCATCTTTGAAATCAAGCTCAATTATCACATTGATGAAGACTAAACTAGATTATCACAGTTTGTGTAACCAAAAAAAAAAATGCCAAGCAGTGTTTTCTTGCAAAACGTTAGTGTCCAATTCAGTAATATCCTTACTTATAGTTTGATTGCATGACTATAATTTGTGAAACATACCTGTATATACTTCATCGATTTTAACTTGGATGTGCTCTGGCTCTTTCTTATCAGGAATGCCAAATTCAGGTTGATTGGGTATAGTGAACTGAGAAGTAGCAGTTATAACTCTCCAATCACTATTTAAAGAGCTAGTTTCAGGTTGTGTGGGTATAGGGGCCTCAGAAGCACTACCAATCACCGCCCAACTACTCCAAAAATGTCCCTTCTTTGGTGCAACTTGACCTTCACTGGCTACTTTTTGTGGTCCTGGTCCCCGAAGGTGCACTTCTTCAATAATTTGCAGGTTTTGTTTTTCATTGCCATTTGCAATGCTAATACCCAATTTTGAGGTACCAAGGGCCACAGATTGGTCCACTAGTTCCTCAGATTGATTGGGCTCTGAAGCCTCATATTCTGATACACCTTTGATTTTTGGTACAGAGTCTTCAGGTTGGGTATTGTTATTTGATGAACCAGTCACTGATAATTAATGGATTTCATTTGCACAAAGAAACAGTAATAACCAGTTAAAATTAAATTTTGAAGAGAGAGAAAAATTGTTATAAGCTATCACATATTAATAGCACAGGAAGGAAATCATTCTCTTTAGAACTAACACAAGTTTTGCACAAAAACATCGATCAAAGGCCACTACTTTCCAAAATGTAAGGTATTTTGAGAGTAAGGCAACAGTGTGATCATAATTTAACATGACAGTCATTTTAAAATTAAATTAAATATTTAAATCTTTAAAATGGTCCAGCTAACCAATACTCTAATTAGAATACTAGTTAAAGGGTCAATAAATAATTCTTTTTATTAGAAATCATGTTGAAAGTGTATTATTATATTATTTCTGATAAAAAAATCCACTCATTGGTTAAAATTTGACCTGTATAAAATTTCAGTTTTGTAACTAATAATTTGTGTAGTACTCTCAAAGGCTTGATTAGCTATAACGAATCATTTAATTTTAACAACATACAGCTCGGAATAAGGTAAGCTCATACAATAAGTCAACTAAGAAAAAGGCCAAAACTGACATTAAATCTCTTCATTTCCATCAAAATTTCAAAGCAAATGATGACATGTGGATGCTTTTTTCCATCATTAAATAAAATGCTGGTTTTAGAAAATCATGTATGTGTCCTCATTTAATTTGAGAACTTGGTAGCAAGAAAACAAAGAACTTGATTTAAGTTGACCCTGAGCAAATAGATTCAATATATTATATTACCTTGATCATTTGCTTCACCTCCATCCGATACCCACCCAGGGAATAACCAACCACCTATTCAAACCAAAGAATTCAGGTCATCTTTGATATCACAATAAAACTAATTAAGAACCTAAACAAAAAACTAGTAGAAGTACCTATAGGAATGAGGAAACTGAAGCATGATGAGCATCTTATTGGCTCAGTTGGTTGGAGGGGTTGAGTAGGAGCATTTGTTTGTTCCCATTCACCCTTTTGAATGTAAACCTTTTGGATACAAGATTTACAATTGGGGCAGTAGAATCCATGTGTTGGAGGTTTCTGAAACACATTTTCCAAATACAACTCTTGCCTTTCCTGGCCATTTTCTTGTACTGTGCCAACTCTTGCAATTTCAGATGCCACATTGTTCAAAGCAGCAGAATCCTCAGGAAGAGGTGGATCAGAAGCAGGTAAAATTATTCCATTCTCTGTATCCTCATGTTGAAGGATCATTTCAGCATTCCTCTCTGTTGTAATAATGTAAGATTTCTCTTTAGTCTCCGATTCCTCGAACTCTAACACTCCACCTTTGAATCCGGAAAATTCATTCACATAACAACGATCACATGAATTAGCTAAACGTTTTAATCAAAGTACCTCTAAATCTGCTTTAAATTAACTGTTTTTTACTTGTGATAAAAAACATACAATAAAATCTATATATACTAAAATTTATTAAAATCACATAATATTACAATATTTAGTACATTAATTATATTAAATATAACAATTTTTATTAATTTTTTTTTATCATTCGTCTTTATAAACGTTAAAGAATTTATTAATATGTTCACTCATTGTCATATACCAAATAGATGTCAACAAGCTTGGCCCACTACTGTTAAAATAACAATATTAGGGGTGTTGAAAATTGAAGCAAATAATGACAAAACTTAAATAAATAAAATTGAAGCAAACTATTTTTGATCCGTTAAGTTGATTAAACCATACAAAATTAATTAAATTAAAAATTTGTAAATTTTATTGCGATTTGGTTTAATTTTCCATTTCTATTGTTAAAATTAAACTAAATTGAACCGAATTACCTCTATGTTATATTTATAGTATTTTTTTTTATTGTATCAATATATTAAAATTATTTTTTAATTTTATTCTTATTTTGTATAAATATGTGATATTTTTATTTACTTTAAATTCTTACACTCTTCTCACAGTTGAGTATCCTTTTTTTGTTTTGCTAATGAGTATCCTTTTTTCTTTTATGTACAAATCTATCATTTTGTTTCCAAGTTTATCACTTTAATAAATTTTCTTTCCATTTTTTATTTTCTTAACAAAATCATTTCAATTTTTATCCTTATTGAGCCAATTGAGCCATCACTTTATCTAAATTAAAATTTATATAAAAATAAATATCTTTTTAAAAACAAATGTCATAAAAAATAAATTCAAACCAACTGCAAAATTCCGTTTGATTTAATTTAATTTAAATATTGTATTAAAAACGAATCAAATCAAACCATATATTAATTTTACGTTCAATTCAAATGATTATTTATTTAACTAAGAAAAAAATAAACATTTAAAATAGTAATAAACTTATCTTATAATATAACACTAAACTTTTAACTTTTACAGTTTGATACCTTTAGGATCCATGTCCTTATTGGAATCATTGCTGTCACTGCTATTGCTATTGCTACTGCTACTGCTTATGCTATGCTGGAGACTCCGCTTTCGTTGGAAAGCCACTTCTTCAACCTCTTTGATAGCTTCATTCCATTGATTTACCATAACTTCCATCTTCTTTTAACACTCTTATTTGTCACCTTCACTCCTAACTCAATGAAGACTGAACCCTATTTTCCTGTGACTACTGAATGGAACCAAATCAATTTATAATGGGGTTCTGAACCCTGACTTGCACATTTCATTCGAAGCTTCTTCAGCATGTGAATGCACATTGGACCAAGTGTGTGTAAAGTTGACATTTGATTAATTGAAATGCATGAAATCAGGGTTCGTGTTGGTGTGGAATTGCATTGTAATGGATGCTCAAGACAGCTTTAAAGTTCCAACTAAGCGTCAACTGCTGAATATTACAAAACAGAAATAAAAAATTGAAAGAAGCTCTCCTGGGTTGCATGGCATTAAATTATCAGAGGATGATGCTTGCACGTTATTTTCTTTAGAACATTCTTAATTCTTTATTTTATAAAACAATAAAATTATATATAACAAGAAGGTACAGTTGTCATTTTAAAATGTGAAAAAATAGAAGTGAATCATATAAGTATACACAAATTATCAAAATTAAATATTAATCACATAATTTCTTAAAATATCACTTACATTTATCTGTTAAAATTAATCATTTATCTATGATCTAATACCTTATATTCACTATTTTTATTTCTTATAAGTTATAGTAACTATAATTTATTGTTCTGTACACAAATATAACTCTCACTCTCTCTCTCTTTAATAGATTTTTTCATAAATGTCTTTTCATAGACTAATATATATATATATATACTCTTACATTTGATTTAAATTTTTTATTTAATTTATATTTAATAATCAGTAAAATAATAAATTATAACTAGATATAAATTAAATAAAATATTTAAATATTAAATTTTTTATACTTATATTAGCATTAATATATAAAAACTCTAGTTTGGATAAACTGTTTTTATAAGATAAAAATTAGTATAAAAGTTAATAATTTTTTTTATAAATTAAAAATAACTTATGTTTATTTATGTTTTTAGCAATCTTTTTATTTATTTTTTTTTAAAATTTGAAAACATAAGTTATTTTTAATTATTAAGAGAAAAATTATTTATATTTTATTTTAATATTTTTTATGAAGAGTTTTGTAAAAGATTATTTTAAGAGAGTCTTCCTAGTATAAGGGTTGTTGGCATTTACATCATCAAATAATCCTTATTTAAATAGCACGATTTGAGACGTTATACGCTAAATATATACGTCCTGCCAATCATCTTCTGTAAAACGAACCCAAACATGAGCTGTGTCGTTGAATTTATAAAATGCAAAGATATATATATATATATATATATATATATATATATATATATATATATATATATATATATATATATATATAGAGAGAGAGAGAGAGAGAGAGAGAGAGAGATTATTGAACCTATGACAGTGATATAAGTGGTGGTCGTGTTGAATGATTTATAACGGGATTAGATTTTATATTCACATGCAATCCCTAAATAAATTATAATAGAAAGTCAATGAAAAATGGATCCTTCTTTTAGATCTGAACTCATTTTCACTGGTAGCTGAGATTCTGAAAGATTTAACATATATAATACAACCAATCCGAGGGTTTACCATAGACTGATTCAAGCAATAGATTGTATGAAAACAACAGTAAGTTTAAATATAATTTTATATTTATTTTAGTTTTTGCTAACTTTTTTTATTATATTTTAATATGACGTGGCTCTATAAATATTTGAATCCATTAAATTATTAAATTTGGTAAAATTGGTTACCCAACCCGTTAGAGTGGCCTGTGCTGGGTATTAGACTAAAAAGACTCACCATAAGAAATGTGTGGGATACTGATGGGATTATCAATAGGTTTTCTAATATGTCCGTACTAGTTTAAAAATATTTTTATATCGGTTAACAATATTAACCCATCTAATAAAAAGTTTAATAGTATTTTTAAAAATAATAATTTTTTTTAAAAATTAGTCACAAGAATAACTGATGTAGATATAAACAATACTTTCTATATTAATTTAAATTTGAACTCATTTAAAAAGATGAGTAAATTTTTTAATAATAAAATAAATAATTAATTAAATTTTAATTAATATGAGACTAACACCTATAAATTATATAAATATACTTATTTTCTATAAATATTAAAAAATATAAAATATAAAAAATATTAAAAACACAAAAAATAATTTAAATATAACTTTCTAAATCAGTTATTTTTTAAATCACCAATTTAAAATATTAATTTTTTTATTAGTTCTTTCATAATCAATGTAAAAAGAATTATAATTGCACAATAGTAAAACAATATAAATTAGAGATGATAAATATAAATTTTTACTTACATTCTTGACTTTCTATTAGTGTTTTTTATTATGATATTGACAAACACTAATTTTGTGTAAGATTTTAGGTATGCCAATGATAAATATTATTTGATTATGTGTTTTTTTTATTAACTTATTTATTTTGGTATATGACATTGATGAATATTGCGTACTCTTCATTTATAGACTTAACGAAAATAAAATTTTTAGCAAATATTAATGAATATTGACTTTATTGATGTCATTGACAAACACTAACACCATTAATAACATTCACAAACATTTATATCATCGACTAACAATGATGTTGTTAAAGAACCCATTGATAACATTCAGAAATATTGATGACCTTAGTAAACTCTAAATTGTCAGAAGAACATTTATGGGTTCAAGTTCTTTTTCACAAATATAATTTTAGTCATAGTTAAAATTTTGGTGTTAAGAAAGTTTTCAGCCAGTCCTATTTATCGAAAAATTTAATGAGTATTTGGACTGAATTTTCCCAAGGTCTAGGCTGGTGTGTTAGGGATGGAATGTCCATTAAATTCTGGACTGATAATTGGATCCCTCAGGTTGATAGGTTGATTGACCAAGTTGTTATTCCCAGCACTGTGCTTGATTTGGAGGCTCCTGTTGCTTTGTTTGCTTCACAAGGCAGCTGAGACTGGGATAAAATCCACTCCCTCCTTCCTGCCCATATAGGTGAGCACATCTCTTCTATTAACCCCCCTTCTAGACTTGCAAGGCCTGATTCTGTCTTCTGGTCTATTTCCAATAATGGGTTATTTTCTCTCAAGTCTGCTTATTATATGTTGGATAATGTTAATCTTCATCCAGCTAGTAGGACTGACCTATTCAAAATCATTTGGAAGTGAAAAGGTCCCCCTAAAATTGCTTTTCTTCTTTAGAAATTAGCTCATGGTAGATTATTTACTAACGAGGAGCGGTTTCTTAGAGGTATGTCTGAATCATCTTCTTGCCCTAGGTGTGGGGATGGGCCTGAATCTATTATTCATGCATTACGGAATTGTTTCTTTGCTAAGAAGATTTGGGATAACTTTATTTTCCCTAATCAGTGGGTCTTTTTTTTCAGCTTGGGAATTTTCAACTGGTTACTGTCCAATCTCTCTAATTCTCACTGCCCTCTCTTCCATAATTGGTCTATTTTATTTGGCTGTTTTATTTGGAATATCTGGAATGTTAGAAATCTTTTTGTTTTTCAAAATTGTTTTTCTCAGCCTGGTAATGTTGCTAAAAAATCTTTATATGATGCTGATTATTTTTCTTTTAATAGCAGGTCTAGTACTACATCTTTTTCCAATTTAATTTCTGACTTTGGGTTGGTTCGATGGAGTCCTCCTCCTTTTGATCAGTTCAAACTAAATGTGGATGGAGCAGTTTCTAATTGTAATAGGGTGGCTGCCTGTGGAGGATTAATTCGAAACTGTTATGGTAGATTCTGTTTTGGGTTTAGTAGAAGCTTGAGCTTTTGCTTTCCTCTTCTTACTGAACTTTGGAGAATTTATTTTGGTATTCAGATGGTTATTTCTACCAAAATTTAAGTAATTTGGATAGAGAGTGATTTTAAGGAAGCAATTACTCTTGTGTTGAATGTCCAGCTTCCTTCCCACCCTCTATATTCTTTACTTTGTAATATTAGAAATGCTTTGAAATCTATTAGATTTGTGAGATTCGCTTATATTTGTAGAGAAGCGAATCAATGTGCAGATTTTTTAGTTAAATTGAGGCTAGATTCTCTAGCTTCTTGTTCCTAGAGTATGGATCCCCCTCCCCTTCTCTTACCTTTCTTGTTTTTAGACTCTAATGCTCAGGGTTGTCCTAGGCATGGTGCCTAGTTTGTCTGTTGTTTTGGGCTTTTGAGCCCCTCTTTCTAGCAAAAAAAAAAGAACCCATTGATAACATTCAGAAATATTAATGACTTTAGTAAACCTTAAATTGTTAGAAGAACATTGATGTCATTAATGAACATTAACAAAAAGAACACTTTTTAGATCAATTATTTTATATAAATTGTATCTATATTGATTTTTTAACAATATTAAATGTAATTTTTAGCTAATCTTAAAAGTAATTTTTGCGCTACTGTCAATTTATACTAACAGGGGCTATATTTTTTGATTTTCAATAGAATATTATAGATATTTAACTAAACCAATTAGTAATTTTTACAAATTTGCTGACATGTCCAAAAATAAGATCAATCAATACAATTATATTTCAACTTTAATGTTTTCTTCAAATTGAAAAGCATTTATTTTAAAGAGTTTTTTTTTTTTAAAGAATAAACATTTAAATTTCCCTTCTTATACTGATTTTCGAGTTTTATTTTTTCGGTCATTTTAATATATTCTTATGTAACATCAATTGTTCGGCCATAGTAATAGCTTCGCATAAGAAAATAGTACTCCATAACATCAACTTCAACCGAATAAGTTAGGATTACATAATTACTAGCAATCCAAGTATTACTTAAACCTAATATTCACGTTAGATAATAAAAAACATAATAACAAAACACTAACACTAACTAGAATTTAAGCTTTTGTTTTGATGTTATTTTAAGGACAGGATGGATGGAGAAGAGGGGGTTTGTTTATAATTAACCCTTGTTTGGGAGTTAATTAAAAATTAGGGAGAAGGGTTAGAGTTTTTCTAAACCCTAACACACTTTTAGCTTTATTTTTT